CGTAAGTTATGACTATAACTATGGATCTATGAGACCGAATGATGACCGTCACCACGGTCTTACCTTGAATGACACCATTCTGCTACCCTTCCAAGACCTAATATAAACAAAGTCAGGTGACTGACCCTGAGTGGTTGGTTCACTATAAAACATCCGGGTGAACAAAGCACTTCCTCTTGCCTGAAACGCCGCAGTTCATCCCGAGTGACAAGAGATGGTGACGGTCATCATTCGGTCTCATAGATCCATAGTTATAGTCATAACTTACGATCTATTTCAGCCTCACTCAGACCGTCACCACGGTCTTACCTTGGATGACTAGTACCATCAAGGTCACGAGGGGTGAGAAGCCTCTCCTTCCTCACATCCCTGCTTAGAAGCTGACCTTAGGACTGCAGACCCAAATTAAACTGGTTCTGCCACATTGACCCTGTAATACCGGGCAAAGGTACAAGGTGAACTCCATGAGGCCGCTGCACATATATCTGTAAGTGCCACACCTTTCAGTGCTGCCCATGATGTGGCTAGACTCCTAGTAGAATGAGCCTCCAGGTTCCCTGGAACTGGTAAGCTCTGGGTGGAGTATGCTTGTGCAATAGTGTCCACTATCCAGTGTGAGAGACGCTGCTTCGAGATTGGTCGCCCAATACTTTTTTGATCAAAACACAGAAACAACTGAGTATGTGACTGCCGCAACCCCTGTGTGCGCTCAATGTATGTGCGGAGTGCTCTTACTGGGCACAGACTAGAAAGGTCAAGACCTGTAGATAAGGAATCTGGGTCAGGTTTAAAGGCTGCAAGTTCAACCGCCTGATTGATTGTGCAAGGATTGAGAATTTTGGGAAGAAAAGCCGGATTCGGCCAGAGAGACACCCCTGAGTAATCCGTTTTCCATCTCAAACAATCATCACTTACTGACAAAGCATGTAGCTCACCCACTCTTTTTGCTGAACTGATAGCCAGAAGGAAAACGGTTTTCCACGATAATGATCTAAGATCAGCCTGGGCCAATGGTTCAAATGGGGCATTAGTCAATGACTGTAGAACCAAAGGAAGATCCCAGGATGG